GGCCCAAAGGGTCCCTCGGTGACGATGGAGTCGCCGACGTCCCCCAGAAGCTCCTGCAGGTTTTCCTTCCTGTCGCAACTCGTCTCCTCCATGCCTGTCGACGCACGGCCGAAAGCTACTTCCTGCTTCCGAGCTACCACCCGCCGCCGCGGTTGAAACCTCGCCGCCGTTACCGTGATCGGCGACCACGATGACGTTGACGCAGCGGTGAAGTCCCAGCTGCTTGAGTCCGTTCATCAGCTGACCGACCACCTTGTCCACGGCTTTGATGGACTGGGCCACCTGCAGCGGAGTCACACGACAGAAGTCGGCGGATGACCGGCGACGAGCTACACGGGCTCTCGTCCGGTAACGCGACCGGGGGCGGAGCGGGCAGAAATATCATACGCTTCAACGAGTGGCGTGGACGTACCCCTCCGCTGACGGGACCGAAGCTGTGTCCCGATTTGTCCGGCTCCTCCAGGTACAGGGTGTAGAAGTCAGGTCTGGAGGAGAAGGGACAGCGCGTGACAGCGAGGCTCACGAGCTCCGACCGGGGACTTGAAGCCGAGTCACCTTTGCCCGTCCGGCAGCTGGAGCCACTTCAACACCGTCAGGACTCGCTCCTCAAACGGGATTTTCCTGCGGGGAACGGCAGTCAAATGCACAGCGCGAGCCCGGCGTCCGTTTGACACATGCAGACCGAAGACTCCGGTACCCGTCGTACGGCCGGTGGATGTCCGGGAAGCTGCCGTTTATTTTCACGTCCGATCCGGGCCAGAAGAAGGTCCCGGACTTCAGCCCCTGGTACTTGGCCGTGTGCCAAATCTGTCGAGGAAATGCCGCTCCGTCATCCGCGACGTAGCTGACCGACGTTTGGCCACTCACCGGCTGTCCCAGGTACCACTCCGGGTTCTCCTTCTCCGGACCCGACAACGTGAAAATGGCGTCCATCACCGGATCGTACATCACGTTGTCAATCAAACCGTTGGACTCGGGATACAGACCCTGGCGGTAGGGG